TCAGGGTTGTATCCTTTCACCACACTTATTCAATCTGTATGCTGAGCAAATAGTTCAAGAAGCTGGACTATGTGAAGAAGAACAGGGTATCAGGATTGGAGGAAGACTCATTAACAACCTGTGTTATGCAGATGACACAATCTTTCTTGCTGAAAGTGAAGAGGACTTGAAGCACTTTCTGATGAAGATAAAAAACTACAGCCTTCAGTATGGACTGCACCTCAACATAAGAAAACAAAACTCCTCACAACCGGACCAATAAGCAACATCATGATAAACGGAGAAAATACTGACGTTGTCAAGGATTTCATTTTACTCAGATGCATGATCAACATTCACAGAAGCAGCAGTCAGGAAATCAAAAGATGCACTGCACTGGGCAAATCTGCTGCAAAAGACCTCTTAAAAGTGTTGAAAAGCAAAGATGTCACCTTAAAGACTAAGGTGCGCCTGACCCAAGCCATGGTGTTTTCAATAGCCTCGTATGCATGTGAAAGCTGGATGATGAATAAGGAAGACCAAAGAAGAACTGATGCCTTTGAATTGTGGTGTTGGCAAAGAATATTAAATATACCACGGACTGCCAAAAGAACGAACCAATCTGTCTTGGAAGAAATGTGACCAGAATGAGCCTTGGAAGCAAGGATGGCGAGACTACATCTCATATACTTTGAACATGTTGTCAGGAGGGATCAATCACTGGAGAAGAATATCATGTTTGGTAAAGTAGAGGGTCAGCGAAAAAGAGGAAGACCCTCAATGAGATGGATTGACACAGTGGCTGCAACAATGGGCTTTAGCGTAACAATGATTGTGAGGATGGCACAGGACAGGGCAGTGTTTGGTTCTGTTGTACACAGGGTCACTATGAGTCATAATATACTCGACCGCACCTAACAACAATAGAATGGGGACTATAACACAGGACAGCCGCTTTCAGAAGTTGAGTTTTCCTATCTGGATAGCTGCTCAGCTTAGAACACTCCCTTTCATGGACAGTAAAGACCAGGGCCCACAGTCCACCAGAACACTAACCTGTGTTATACTCCAGAGATATTGGCTGGGATTTGAACTTGGACAGGAATGAAAAGAACCTTCCCTTCAAGCCTTAGCACTTTCCTCCCAAACTTCTGCTGAACTCTCTGCTCCAAGACATTTGTCTCATTGCCACAGCACAGCAAAGAGAGGGATGAGAGGGGAGCATAAGCAAACAGACCCGGAGATAAGATGGTACTCGCACACACTTCAGCTCAGAACCACTAGTTTGTGTTTTAACTATTCACTTATAACCTTTGGGGAAGAAAGGTGGCGCCTCTCACTTTCCAGAATCTTTAATGCTAAATCGATGTGTCAAATTCTAATTTTTAGCCATATCCTCTAATACCATTGGTAACTAGATATGACATGACATAACTAGACATGCTGACCACCAATGGCAGTCCCAGAGGGTTGGCAGGACAGGTGTTGAGGTGACAGCCTGTTTGGAAGACAGGGACTTATCTTAAGCTGTGTTTGCCTCACAAGCACAGTTTTTCCGTGTGTTTAAAGGATATATTTATTGGAGTGGGATTCCAGGAGCTGATAGAGTTCAGGTAGAGCTACGCCTTACCAATCTATAAGCAATTGTCCTTATTAGTATATGTTTGAACTCAATCAGAACCACTAGTTTGTATTTTAATTCAATCAGAAACCTCTCTGGGCCAGTTTCTTCCCCTCTAATATGGGTTATCATCTTTGCAGTGTTGGGATCATGCCTGGCAATATAAGAAAAGTCATTATTTTTATTGATGTAACAGGGAACCTGGAGGAGACTGAAACAGAAGAACTCTTGAATTTTTTTAAAACCTGCCGTTTATAAATTTATAAACACTGTCTACCTTTGGGAAGGGAGAGTAGAATTTACCTTTAGGGCAGACTATCCCTTTGATCTAGAAAAAACAACCTGAGTGAAAATATTATTCAAATATAAAGCAAGGGAGTGCTCTTTATCCTGTGGTCAGCTTGTATATATTTGCCTCCACATATTTGCAAAGAACTAGGAAAGACTTCTGGGAAAAAGTAGAATTAAGCCTCTGTGCTCTTCCTTTTGAGGATCAAACTTATTAGGACATGTCTGAGAAACTGTGGTGGCTCAGAGTCCAGTGTTAGGAAAAGACAACAGAAACCAATGAGAGGAGACACCACAAGGAAGAGGAGATGAGGGCTGATGACACAGACTCATAATTTCACTGAGGCCAGAAAGTCTGCCCTCAGCGTGAGACCCCACTTCTCTGTCAGTGGCAGGAGGCAGAACAGGATAAGAGCTGACTCTAAAGCCACTGTCAGCAGGCTGGGGTCCTTGAGAACAGTCAGGGAGAAGAACTCAAAAAGAATAGTAAATGTCCTGCTTAATATTTGGCACGTGGGGCTTACTGTCATTGCAATTTAGATCTTCTTTGATAATAAAGGCTGACGACCATATTTAGTGGCCCCAGATTCCAACTGCCCTCCAAGCGTGAACAAGGAGAAGGAGAGGGAGTAACCAAAGCTCTCCACTTATCTTGGATCTCTCTGTGGTAAACGATCCTACAGAGGAGCTGTAAGAGCACAGATCCTGCCCATTCATGGGAACCATGTGCAAACAAGTCTCTCCAGGACTGAGAGGGGTGGGACATTAACAATCACATGCCCTGGTCTCTTTAACAGACCCGCTAACTGGGGGCAAATGTGTGTTCAAGAACACACTCAAACACACACACAGACAGGCTGAGAGGCTCTGGATTTCAGAGTCAGAGAGAAGAACCCAACACCTCAACCTCAGAGGCAAGAGTGTGTCCCTTGGTGGTGAAAGGAGCGATAGCAGAGACTAAGGTCAGCAATCATCCATCACCTCTAAAGTTAAAAAATGTGGAAGTATAACACACCATTCCGCCTAGACTTTCTCTACTCACTAACATTAG